CAATTGGCCAGCGCCGGCCCTCGCGCCTTCCTCGAGCAAGTCGAGGGGCCCTTCAGTTTGAGTGTAGTTTGAGTGAGGTTTCTGAATTCGGCGGTGAGACCACGAGCTGCATAATTTTTTTTTAATTTTAGTTTTTCTTTTTTTAGACGTTTTGTTATCGCGCCTCTACACATGCTGACAGATGCTTGCATTCGAACCACAACCAACTCTATTCGAACGTGGCAAGTGCAAAATCGAACGTTACAGCGCCGCCTGGATAGTGGTGCCAGCATAACATGGTCGCGTCTTGCGGACGCGCTCGCGCCCCCTACCCGAGAGCAACGGGTCTATAGTCAGTTTCCGGTTTAAAAAAGTTTTCGAGGGGAGGGAAAACTAGAGAGGAGGAAGCGGACGGAACGCTGGAGGGAGGATAAAGGTTTCGTCCTCTCCTCTCCAGCATTCCGTTTGCTTCCTCCTCCCCAGCCCTCATTTCTTTGGAAAACTTTTCTTAACCTGTAACTGACTATAGTACTAAAAGCACTGGATCCTAGGAAAGTAGCGCCATTGACTTTCTTGCCTGTTAAAATTACACAAACCGATACTAACGTACGTGCGACCAAAACCTCGCGAGGCTGCGCGCTTGTCTCGCCGGTGTGTGGATAATAAAATCTATGTATAGAAGTTGCCTTTATAAAATAAACTGCCACGGAGAATTTCAATCGCGGCTCAACAAGAATGGAGAGGTCAAAAAGAAATTTCTCCATCGGTGGACCAAAATGGCGGCCATACGGGGTGCTTGGCGCTGCGACCCCCCGTGCCTTACGCCCCCGCTCTTTTACGGAGTGGACTACACCACCGTGAACGTGAAGCAGAAACTCATTTATGGATGACTTATCGACATTCTCAGATCTTCCGCGGTCGGTAGGTTCATCTAATCATCATCACCAATCCTCTCTTATCCCACTGTCTACTCTGAGGCCCACCCCATCCAGAAGGCAGGTGTCTAATAAACGTATTAATATGATGATGATGTTTCTAACATAGTTCTTGTACGTCGCCTTTAATTCAAACAGTCGAGAGTGCTTGATTTAGCTGATCTTGTTCGCCTATCGCCGTACTTCTTACGGGAATTTTCGAGACTGCCACAGGATAGCTCTTACTTTTGAAGAGAGTTTATTACTGTAGATATAATGACCTCGTTATGCATGCTTATTAAACGTTTTAGGAAATGGCAAATTTGTCTGAAAAAAAAAGGACCAAGTAAGCATTTCATACCTGTTCTGTCGCGCTTTACTCAAGAGCCTTCTGCGCTATCTTGTGCCGAATGAGATTTCTTAGATAATTTTGATAAATATATGCGATATGGGACGAGAAGGCTCAACGAGCAAGCCCGAGAAAAATAATTGGGGATCGGGAGGCGCCTTGAGCCGCCTGATCCCCAATTATTTTCTGTTCATCCATAAACTTTTTATTTTTTTATTTTTTTTATTTTGCGTTTACCAAAATGCGACCGCGACTTTGGAGGCTGAGCCCTAACGGCGCACTGTGCGCGGGAGGTCTTACGAACAGTGTGCTATGACGTTTATATATACTTTTTTTTTTCCCGAATAGACCGATATCACCAGCCAGTTTCGAAACGTCGCCACAACCACGATGCATCGAGAAAATTTTAGTCTTTCTAGACGTGCGGCAATCTCGATGAACGTCTTCGCGAGCACGGCACGAGCTGTCCTGTGCACTGCCGCATGACTCCTCTGAACTAAAGTTATGGAGGCGTCACGAATGCTTGGAACACTTAGTGAGATCGGTCTAATCGCACCTATGCTCCTCAGCTGACCCTAATTCTGTGGGTGCTGACTGCCGCAGACTTGTGCAGTTATTCTCTTCAGTTTCACTCGCCTGCGTCGGATTATGTCGCATCGCATTGGATTATTGCGGGCTGAACGGACTTCTCGATACGGTGTCCAGGCTGAGATCAATCCTCAATTTCTGCTCAGAATATTTCAAATGATATAAGCACATTGCAAATCGAACAACTAATTTGTTTAGTCTAAAATATAGCCAAACTCGCCACAAAACTGTTTATTTTTATTTGAGTCAAATAACTTTCATTTAACCAAATTTGGTTTAACTCAAAATGTCGAGTAGTCGCACACCCCTTCCCCATAGTGAAAATGCCACCGCGAACTTCATCTGCCGACTTTAAAAGTTTCCGCTCTGAATATAACTTTCCGCCCTAGATTTCATATTTAGGCTCAGGAAATAGCTGGGTCTTGTGCGCGTGCACAGGAACCAAGTTCACCTCGGTACATTGTTTGCACTTGTTTTCCGAAAATGCCAGAGCACGGGTTTCGATGGCGTCCAGGAGAAAATTTCGACCTCTCTTTTGTTTATTCATTTCAAAATACTGCTGCGTCACATAAGGTCATCACAGGAGTGGAGAAGACGAGCCATTGCATACAATACAAACTACAAATAGAAGGAACACACCCTATAGATGGTGAAAACACGAACTATTGCCCGGAAAAGGTGATAATCAAATGCAAAAATTGTTGAGGTGTGCAACTTGAAACACGCGCCTGTAATACTAACAAAAACTAAACAGAAACATAAGGTGAGTGTATTTCTAGAATAATATTTCGTGTTCAAGAGATCGAGGGGCGCCATCAGTGCTATCTCAAAGCCAGAAAGTCCTGAAAACTAACCTAGCTCGTTATTTTAATGCTCTTTTATTCCTTCGATTGCAGCCTTCAAATTTTCCACATGTGGGCACTTGCTTTCCTCGATTTGGAAAAAAAAAGAAAAAGGGGTATTTCACTGCCGATTACGTGCGCTAATAGAGAATTCGAACGTTTTGCACAAGGTATGCCCGATAGTATCTTAGAGATGCTTTCAGGTATCTGTATTTCAGTATATCGATATATGTTCGACGAAAATGTATTTGCATCTCAATAGTGCAATACATCTACAATGCATCGCTTGTATCGGAAAATCGTTACATTTATTGTCGAAAATTATCTGTCGGGGTTTTACGACACTTGAAACATCACCTTTTTGATGCGTGGGATCCCAAACTTCATAATATGAACCTGCCGGGGGGGGGGGGGGGGGGGGAGGGAGGAGAGGGAGGGGGGAGGGAGGGAGGGAGGAAGGGAGCGAGGGAGGGAGGGACAAAAACCCGATATATCACAAGCAGTCACCAAAACTCAAGCATGCACTACCATTTGCATTCCCCACGAACTGGTCCCTCTGCACCTACCATGGAACGGGGAAAAATATTTCTGTATGTATATATGTATCTGTATTGCGGGACGGTTTTGTGCCGTCTTTGCGGAAGTACCTCAGGATCCCGTCACACCAAAGACAAATGTATCTCACTGTCTGTATCTTAGATTTAAAAATCGTGTATCTCAGTATTTTGTATTCCTGAATACTTTTTTGAGTATGTCTGCCCTGCCCCGAGGTGGCCCAACAACCGCCACATTCTGAAAGAGAGGGGGCGGTACTTATATATCAAAATATTAATTCGAAAGCATTAATTGTCCCTTGGAGCGAAGCCGACGTCTGTAACCGTCTAGCAGCGAAACGGCAGTTAAATTCCCATTGGCCAAAAGCACAGCAACGCAGGTGCTTCGTCACGGAATCCGGCGGGGCGCTCAAGGTCAAAGCGGACGCACTTCAGAAATAAAACACAAAGAAAAGCGCAGCAACGCAGATGCATCGTCACGGAAGCCGTGGAGCCGGCGGGGTTCGCCGCGCCTGCGCAGTGCGGGGGAGCGTGATGTCACCGCCGGAGCGCCGTGTGCGATAGGAAAACGTGGCGCGCTGTTTGTAGGAATGCTTTCGCGTTCCTACTTGTAACCAGTCTTAAGTGTTCTTCATAATTTTATTTTTTAAACTCTTTTTCCGCTTGTCCGTGAGACTGACGTCCTAACTTATTCTAATGATATTTCAGCATAATTTCAAAACACTTAGCACCACACACAATATATTTCACAACCTCCTCGGGCGCTTGCTGCACACATAGTTTGCATGCAACAGCCGCGCAACCAGTTCTCACGTACACATAAACAATAAATACAGGCGCCACAAAGCACGCACGACAACAGCATTATGACCCTGGTGAACTGCTCGTCATCCTTACCTGTATACCTGACTCTTTCACCTTGATTATGACCCTGTTGAACTGCTCGGCATCCTAACCTACCTGACACTTGCAAAAAAAAACAACATATTTGTGAAAAGACGGTGAGAGTGCAGGCGAGCTGGTGGTAGCTAATCATGTCGTATTACACCTGAGACTGCGGTGGAAGAAATCGGAAGAACTTTCAGTAGAAGGAACAGACACAGAACGTTCTCTGTGTCTGTTCCTTCTACTGAAAGTTCTTCCGATTTCTTCCACCGCAGTCTCAGGTGTAATACGACATGATTAACATATTTGTCCCGTTAATTGCAGAGGTACTCAGCAATTAACAGAACAAATATGCCGATTTTTTTATTTTTATTTTTTTAAATACAAATTTTGTTTGGTTTATAACCAGTACCTCAGTCTAGAAAGTATTAAGGCGATGATTATTTCACAAAGTGACCGAACTAACATAAGCTATATCACTTCCAAAGGGGCGTGCTATCACTTCTTCGCACTACATTTTTAAAACGCCCATTTTACACCCTTTTAACAAATGAGTGTTTGGAGTGATAGAACCTTACTTCGAGTTATCAAGGACGTCTTGTACGAAATGCTACAAGCTGGAAAGGCGATGGGTGCAAGTCGTCGAGTTACACCGTTCGAACACCCAAAAGGTGTAAACGCTTTATGGGGATACCGATCCTTGTCTTTAATCATGCTTTTGCAATATCAACATGCAACTGCCTGTTTGTGAAATGCTACTGAAATAATCTTCACTGCTGCACCACAGGGAACAGTGCCAGGGGATATGACTGCAACGGCACAATGCCAGTAGGTGTAGCAAGGCAGTGTCGCTGCTGTGCGACCTGCCATTCTCGTGACGCGGGTGTGTTCAAGGCCGGTTTCCAATCACAACGACATGACCATGGAGCTTCCTGCTGTCCCCGGCGTCTCTCCAGTTGACCCGGTAATGCGGGAACGGAGGCACCTCCTTCACGTAAATTGGCCTCCTACCAAACCGCCCGAAATCCGGGTACCGGTCGGTCATAAAGCGTCCTCCAGGACCCACGGTGGTCCAGGAGTCCTTGAGCTGCGTCTGCTTCCAGCCCCGGTGCAAGTCGATGGTGGCCGGCGTCTTGCGCTCTTTCTTGCTGGCAGGTTGAAATATCTCCTGCACCTTAACGCGCTGCCTTCCGAGGCCAACCATGAGTTCTACAGGCACGGTGATGAGGGAAATGGCAGTGCCAAAGAGCAAAAGCAGGAACACTCCTTCGAGCTCGCGGACTCCGATGGGGCGGGAGGTGCCGTGGGCGTGCGTGCTGTAGTCTCGGATGCACGGGTGTTGGTGCTCCGTGTGGTTCTTCAGCAGTAGGTCCAGCATTCCCGTGCTTTTCAGTCTGAAGATGCTGTCGGGGAAGCGGAATGGACGTTACCACGATTACGAACCTCATTCTTTTTTTTTAGTGCTTCTCTCGACCTTGGAAGTAGCCGCCTTACCACGCGGTGCACCATCAAAAAGCAACACAAACGTCGCTTGAAAACTGATGACACAAATGTAACCAAATGTTGCGATAAAGTGGATTGCGGCATCTTAGGAATACTTGATTAGAAAACAGAATCAGTTGAAGTCTTATTTCACATTAAAAGGTATTTGAAGTCCGTTCAAAATGAATCTCGAGAGTTAACAAAAATTTAGACTCAATTATAAAAAGTGCGATCCAGAACACACTATATCATTGCACCAGATAAAAAGAATTCTTAAGAAGTTAGCCAAAAATAGTTATTTAAGCCACTAATTGTGTCTTTATACTCGTGCCTTGGTGTCCGCCGTGATCGATAACGCCATTCTGCAAGAACAATTCGTTTATTTCTTTTTTTTAAATATATTCCGTCCTAGACAAATACACTCTGCATATGGTAGCTTTGCTCACTAAATAATAAAAAAAATATTACAAAAATTATGTTTTCGATGCCACTAAAACTTTGCAAAATAAGTTGTTAGAAAAAAAAAAAAAAAGGAATAAGTCAGCCCTGTTAGCTTGTGGTATGGCTCGAAAAATGTGCCAATTGTACTTACTTTTTGTTTAATGCATTTATGAAGGGGCTTCCTTTTCTGGTGCCTATACTGACTAATATATGCATGATATTTTCTGGCATGCAGGAGAGCCTACAATGTTTGGAGCCACCCTGCTCGTAGTCCTTCTCGATGAGCTCTTTCAAAATCCTCATGTCATCTGTTCGAATTTAAGAAGAAAGACAGCACAATCAGGAGGACAACACACCGACGTTCACCTAAACAACGATCCGGTATTAAGGTCTTGGTCCGAAAAGTTTATTCTCATATGCATGCGTATGGCATTTCAGTTTTTTTTTAAATCTTAATTTTAAAAATTGAAAATATGTTTTGACGCTGTACTAAATTTATATACACCCACATAATGTCAAGAATTGTCTCCAGAGCAGATCCATCTATGTCCGAGATCCTTGTAATTATAAATTGAGTGATTGGTCTAATTTTTGTATGCCCCTATTTTGTCATGAAGTTGACGCAAAAGGGCGTGGGGGAGAAAATGGTTACCATATATGCCGACCCACTCCAGAACGCCTTTTTATGAGGGTGTCGAATTGAACCCGAACCCGAACCACAAACGGGAGCAAAACTTATCCTTGACCGAACCAAAAAAAAAAAAAAAAAGAAACGTAATTGAAGTTAAGCATTTAATAGGAACTTTTAGCCAACCGTTACCGTGTTCCGCGTACCGCACTACTGGAGCCTTTGAAGCATATATACGTTCAAGCGCGCGGCCGGGTGATACCGTGACCGTGGGGCACGCGCTGCTTCGAAGGCTGCGGTAGTGCGGTACGCGGAACACGGTAACGGTTTGCTGAAAGTCCCCAACATGGAACCCGAACCGGAGCGGAACTGTAATCTCATGTGGCGGTTGCCGGTTCATTGGGAAACGGTTCGGCGCAACAAAAAGGTGTGTCGCGCCTTTCTTGCGGGTTTCGGCGCGTAGTCAATCCAATAGGGAGCTTTCGTAGATCGTTTCCGCCGTCCCGCAATGCTCTCCGCAACTCGCTACGATGTCCGGGCTTCTTCAGTCAACGCTAGCGGCGCGCAGCCGCAGTAGCGGTCTCTTCGTTGCGTATAGCTTAGAGGAGGGAGGAACGCGGGTTACGGAAACTCCCTAATATTCGCGACGGTTGCGTAAACGTCGCAATTCTAACAAAAAAAAAAATGACGACGACTTGGAGATATTTTAATAATAATGAAACAAAAAATAATATTTCACGTCTATGTGCAGCGCGACTTGGCGTCGGCGAGTCGGCGCGGTGGCGTGCACTTCTCTACTTTGTGTCACCTATGGACTGCAAAGGACGCAACGAGCCGCCAGAGCCCATCCACAGCTCGGAGGGTGTCACGTGCCCGTTCGCCCAGCCGCTTTGATCTCAGCCGCTTTGCGGTTGAAATCGTGCGAACCCGCTTTGCGGTTGCGGATCTGGCTTCTAGTGTGAACGCGCCGTTATGCCGTCTCCGAAAGCCACGACAAAATGATGCCGTTAATTTCGTCGAATTACGGAAAACCATCAATTTAACTGAACTAAAGTGCTCGATACTTATGTAATGAACATTTTAGCCAGAACAACTCAGTTGATTCTCTAAGATAATAAAAATACCTAGGAGGATGGCCTCTCCTTCAGCAACTTGATCCACGATCTCTCTCGGATCATGAATTAGGCTCGCCCTACGACCATGTTGTAGTCTGTTTTTCAGCTTCCTGAAGACTAAGTTCGTGGAGTTCTGTAAAATAAAATGTCCTAATTAGTGTCATTCAGGCATCTTGGTTCAAACAAGTTGCCTGCGCAGAGTGAGCTCCGGTCGCAATATTTGCGATCGAGTTGGTACACAGAAGTGGTGAAAAACGGCGCACGTGCGTCTAAAATGGAACAGAAAGAACACAGTGCTTGCGCGTCGTGTGTGTTCTTTTCTTTCCTTGTTTAGTTCCGTGCTGTTTTTAACCATGTCGTCTATAAAAATACTGTGACGATCCAAGATCACACGAAAAATAAATACCCAAATCGTATAGAAATAAATATTGTTTGGCGGTCAGGGGATGATTGTGCAGTATCTTGGTGTTAATAGTACATACCTGTAGTTTTTAATTCATTATGTCCGAAGTAGCTGAATCAAATTCATGTTGACAGGCAAGCAAATTTGATCGCGCCCTTTTTGTATTTAATTGAGACGAGTTCGAATTATAAAAACCTTACTTTTAGGATTTTTTTTTGTGTCCAGTGTAATAGAGTTGTCACTATCTTTTCTTGATTTTTTTTTCTTTCAGACAATAGTTTCGGCTTTTGGAATAAATAACTTTAATTATCTAAGTACCAAAGCAAAAATATCGTTGTGAAGCTACATAAAATAGCAGTAAAGCTAAAGCGAAAACGTTTTTTGCGGAGACAGCGTAATAATAGCTCAACAAGTCGTTTCTGTACAAGATTTTGTTTGAAGCAGCATTGTTTGTGCAGATTAGCGAAGTTGAATATTTTTTTTTATCATTATCGTTTCTTTTTTATAACATCAGACGTGGAATATTTTTGGGATTCTTATGTATTTCTTCATGAGTGTCAGGAGAGTTCGTCTGTGATAAGTCAAACTTGTCGAAAAAGGAGAATATACTCTCAGATTACAGGAAATACCCTTTTCAATTCATTTTCGCATTACTGCATGAGATTTGAGAAAGGCGCATTTTCTTTAATCACATCGAAAGAATAGTTTTATGAAGACTATGCACTTATTTGGCATTGTTTATTTCGACCTACGCTACTGAAATGTAAAGAACTGGAGGTCCGTGAATTTGAAACCAGGTAGCTTTTTTGTGCCCATCTTTTCGTACCATGTTCGCGTACGTTTACAAGTGGCTGAGGTACAACACAGTCAGTATCATAAGCAACTCCTTCGCAGGTAAAGTGATCTCACATGTCTGGAAACGCAACGAGGGTGTTTTCTTTTTGTGAAGGGGATGTGTTCAACCCGAGTGTTGAAGCCAAAGCCACTATGTAGCTCGGCCAACTGGTAAGGAAAGACATATTGTAACCCGAGCCAGGACGCTCGAGGGTTACAATGACCTGATTAGATGTCGAAAATCTACCGAGACAAATTGGAACTGGTCCAGTAATCACAGGGGATGACAGTTCCTTTCAGTAGGAAAGTAACATTCCCCTCTTCAGATGCTCTTCCGTTTCAGCTCAACTGCTCGGAGACAAGTTCTTCGCGCTTTCTTACGTCAATCTCCTGGTGCAAGCCCGTGCCATAGGGTACGTAGATGTACAGGTCCTCCCGATCGACGGCGTTCTTGAAGGAACTGACGATCCAGTGGATTTCGGGGACGGTGAGGAACGCGATGAGGTTGCTGCTGTAGTACGCCATGACCACGAGCACGTAGAGCCACCAGAAGCCGAGGATGATCCGTGCCGACGAGGCAGCTGGCAGATGCACCCCTCCTGTCATAGGGACGGCGTGAGAAGGAATAAAAATCATCATCATCATTATTATCATCAGCAGCTGCAGCATGACATCATAGCTACTTGCGGGGCACAAGCGCCGATTGTGCCCTGTGAGCTCTTAATGAGCTTCGTAAAGTAGAAGGACGCCAGTGTGAATAAACCCTACCGCATTCATCTCTCACGTCACCTGAGAGAGATGCATGTCTAAATCACGAGGCTCATGACACACCTTGCTGCAAGAGGGCCCCGTAGAGATACCAGACGCAGTTGAAGAACTTGACCAACCCGGCGGGGCGAGTGTCCGGACCTAGCTGGGCGTGTGCCGGACTGGTCCTGGCGATGATCCACAGCACGACGCTCATGGTGGGAAGACTGATCAAGATGGTCAGCCATACCTACGGTCGGACAAGACTTGGTTTTCAATTAACTGCAGATACGGCGCTGGTGCTCCAGTAAAGTGACAGTCGTGAGTCAAGCCAGTTTTGGGCACGACTTAAAATGCCTGCCTTATAGACAAAGTTATTAGTTTTATCACATTTTGTTTATCCTTTAGATTCTGTCAACGTGGACCGGTTTATAAGCAAAACTTCACCTCGATCACGCGTAAGCTAATTGACATCAACTACCTCGTAGTGCTTTAAGGTATGGCCTATAGTTAGGTCTATAGTCTCGCGGCTAGAATTGATTATAACTTCACCATGAAAGAAAATTATTTAGATATACTTAATGCAAACAAGGTACTTCTATATATTTATTTAAACATTCACTGAATAACGCATGTAACTAGAAAGGCAAGTCAGCCCTGTTCGGGGTGCTTTATGTACTATACTAATAATAGCGGAAACACGGGAGTTCATGGCATGGGGTAATCTCGAAACATTCTAACGGCGCATAGCAGGCAACCACAGCGCGTCCGCACCGCTGCAGTTGCAGTTGCGCATTAAAGGGCCCCTAAAAAAAAAAAAAAAAAAAAAGCTTCTTTTTTTTTTTTTTAACAATCTAGTTGGGACACGCGTATTAAAAAATAAATTTTACGCGAAAAAAAATTTAGAGCAATATTGACGGCGAGAGATTTATTTAGAGTTCTGCGCGCGCGAAGTTCATGACGTCGCGGGTCATTCCGGAATGACCATCTCGGTCGTGAAGGCAAAGCCGATCACCTCTCCTCCACGCGTCCGGAATGACAAGAAAGAAAACAAATGGAAAGGAGGTGACTGCCGACTAAATCACGTCTAGCGCCGTCAATATTGCTCTAAATGTTTTCTTTTTTACGTAAAATAATTTTTTTGAAACGCGTGTCCCAACCAGGCTGTCACAAATATTTTTTTCAAGGGCTTTTTAAGGGCGATTCACACAGTTGCGTTGAGTCCCACTGAGTGCGAGAATTGATATGGCAACAGTGGCTTCGGCTACAACAAGACGGGGTAAAAACTGGTTTTGTTGGAGCCGGCACAGCTGCTGCCATAGCAACCCTCGCACTGGGTTAAACTCAAGGCAAGTGTGTGAATCGCCATTCACTCCGTTAAAGGGGCACTGCAATCATATTTAAGCGTCTGCCTTTTTTGCGGTTTTCACGTCTCTTGGGGCTCGGACAAGCCAGCGGGCACGGAGAAAGTAACTAAATATCAGTGAGTCACTTTTTAACCGGACGACGCAGAAACCTCCTCCATCTACGGGAGCGAATCGCGGTGCCGACAGCGCGCAATATGTGACGACATCGTGGCGTTTTCAGTCCTGGCCTTTCTACTGGTCAAAGCCGCCAAAAGCTTCTTTTTAGTCGAAATACAAAGTGGTGCGAGCCGTTTCAATTATTTATAAAAGTAGTTTTTCTCCAGTATTTAAAATCAGAAAATAAACAAATGTAGTTTATAAAGTACGGAAACAAGGTATGACCCGTCGATATACCCGCCACCAAGCGGTGGAAAAGGCGGCGCATACTAGAAAGGTGTAGTGGGATCAGGCTCCGACGAGCGACGAGCGTAGAAAGTTCCCGGATGTACGCGGAGGTGCTGCAGTCGAGGATCCGATCGGTTCCGAGCGTTCCGAAGGCCTTCGGCGAGCAGCTTGGGCTTGCGGATTTGCCCTTTGGCGGTATGGCAGCGCGAAGTGGCTCCCGTTCTGAACTGATTTCTACCCCGTGCTTGCTGTCGTTTGTGGCCAATGAAGTGTCATGCCGAATGAGTGTTTAATAGCGCAGCAGATGCAATGTGAGCCGCCCTGGCTGCCCACTTTATACAGCCTATCCAGAACATGCTTTAGTGGCGCCCTCTCGAGCCGTCGACACGGAGTGCGGCAGCCGTGGCGCTCGCTGAGCTCACTGCCCCTCCTCTAGTTTACGGCCACTCAAGCAACCAAGGTTATTGCTTGAGTGGCAGCAGCAGCGCATCCAGTCGTAAGCCGCCGCAAGAGGCTTAAAAACCGGTCATGTCTCAGTCGGTTGTAATCGGTCGGAAGTGTGAACGGGCCTTAAGGCCCGTTCGCACACTTGCGACCTCTTAGAACCGAGTACCTTGGAACCTCTTAATATCTCTTACGACGAGAGGACACATTGGCGCTATCTATTGGGTAGCAGTGTAAACTTGGCGGTCTGGTATATTTTCTATTTCTCTCGCGCATTATCCTTTCTTTCTTGGCTCGAAAAAACTTTCGTAAACGTTGTGAACGAGCCTTTCTCATAGGTATTACGCACATTTGACTTCGGAAATACCGCAAAACCTTCGCTCTTGTGAAATGCAGTTTCAAAGTCACCGCAGACATGGCGCCAGCGTGCCAGTGTGTTCTCTCGTCCTAAGGAATTTTAAGAGGTTTCAACAGGCCTCGTCTCTCTCGGTCGTACTCGGTTGCAAGCGTGCGAAGAGGCCTTTAAGCGCCGTTCACACACTTGAAACCGAGTAGGACCGAGAGAGACAGGATCGGTGTTTAAGCCTCTTGCGCGGTGTAGGACCAGATGAGCTGCTGCGGAGCATGTCCTACGCCGTCGCAAGAGGCTTAAAAACCGGTCTTGCCTCTCTCCGTCTTACTCGTTGTAAGTGTGTGAGCGGAGATTTAAGCGCCGTTCACACATATGCGACCGAGTAAGACGGAGAGAGACCAGACCGGTTTTTAAGCCTCTTTTGAGACATCTTAGGACCTGCTCCGCTGCAGCGCATCCGGTCCTAAGACGTCGCAAGAGGCTCCAAAACCGGTCTGGTCTCTCTCGGTCTTACTCGGTTGCTTATATGTGAACGGCGCTTTAGACTGCTCTGACGGAACCTGTTGCAACGCATTCCGCTTGTTGTGATTAAGAAATTAATACGATATTGTAAAACTTGTCGCAATATTTAGTAAAAAGATTGCCTAAAACTTTATAACAACTCAACAAAAATAAGGTTTGTACTAACCATCCGATGTGCTTACCGCTATTTCGACAATTAGTTTTGAACCACATGAATTGGGGTTACCATATAGGGCTCACTCTAACGCAGGGGTGCGGAACATTAATGGGAGGGCTAAACTCTGATGTCAGCAATCCATCCTGTTGTGAATCAAGAGCTGCAGATTCATTTTTTCATGTGCATTCTTAAATGAGTTAATTTTATTTGACCACGTCAAATCTATATATTCTAATGGCGAATAATAATATTTAAATAACGCACGTACGTCTTTACTTTATAATGTTCTTTTGGTTTGTAGTTTAAAGAGTATATACATAGCTAGGTTTTGGTTAAATATTTAACCAGAGGACATATATTTTAGAAATTATATTTACGAATAACAAAAAAGGAGAATATATTTTCGGTGTTGCTAAAAAGGTCGACTAACACGCACGGCCGGCCTTTTTTCACTCTTCTTATTTTTACATTTCTCCCTTAGATAAGCAGTAAAATGAGAGGTCCGGTCATTTAATAACTTGATTAAAAAAGGTCACCACCTTTTGGCTTAGTGCCTGAATTTACGACAATGAAGGGTACATGAAAGGGACATAAAGTTGAATTTTTTCAGAAAGTTTACGCCCTAGTTTTTATATATTCCATGAGGGACTTTGGGATTTCGCCAAAATACCACCGATTTTCAAGAAGCTCTGCGACACGGGAAACGATGCAATATTTAAGAAGCTGATTATCAGAGAAAACAGGCGAGACAGTTTTCCTCTCCTTAATCTCGGGTTTCTAGTAGAAATAAACGCAGCAAAGTTGGGCGACCAATCACGTTCAAAATGCTTATGTTTTTTTTTTCTTCATATTTTACCTTCTCGACCGAACAGCAGGATTTCTAAAAATTTCACAGATCGAGACATAGCTGTATCCAAAATTAATACGCAAGCTACAAAAAAAAAAAAAAGAACTCACTCAAAATTACGGTTCAGACCAACGCACATTAAAGCTTTTTAAAGCTCCGACAAAAAATAAACTAAAAAATTACTCCCCCTCTTTTCCGCCCCCCCCCCCTTTTCTCCCCCCCCCCCCCCCAAAAAGTAAAACAAAACAATCCGATTGAAAAAATAAAGTATTACAGATTGATTTAATTTAAAGAATATTTATAGGATCTAACTGCACATAAAAAGATATTTTTTGTCACTTGATGTGCTCTTAAAGAATCTGCCTTATATAAATCTTTGTTGCTTTAAATACAAAGCAAGTGCGCATGGAAAGCATAAAACGAAAGAGAAACGGCAAGGAGTACACATTTTTGGGGTTATTTGAAGGAAAGTGCTCGATCTAAATTATCATAGTCAAATCAGTGCAATTGAAATCACGATTTGAGTTACGATTTAAATCACCATATAAATCGTCTGGATTTTTATTTTCCACCCTTGCATGAAGTAATCAAAAGAAGGACAACACGTGCACCTTTTTCACGCACGTGTCGTTCCTTCTCCTATTTTTTAAGTTTTCTTTCTTACCGTTATTATGATCAACAACATTCTCGGTTCATTTAACCACCTAATATTCCCCAAAATAAACTTAATTCGCAAAACCCATAATTAGTATAGCCCAAACGTAGACAACAAATTGAACTTGCTTGACGCTGAGTAGGAGCGCTTCGGATATTCGTTTTCTTAGTTGGTGATAGGCACCTAACTTCGCGTCTTACACTTTGCAAATTTACGCGCAATGTACTGTTTTACAAGCCCAGTCTCTTGACACAACGGTTAGAATAGAATCGTGGGGACTTGCTTACCTCATTCTCGAATGGCTTGAGGAATAGAAGTTTACGAGTCTCTATTCTGGGAGCTTGCACCATCATGCCCACCGTGTTGCTCATGAAGCCGTCGGTGAGGGAAAAAGAGCGTTTGCGAACTTCCGTTATGTCCAAGAAGGCAACCCAGTCGATCTCCTGAGGGAAAACAGATAATATTCGTTATTCAGGTCACCGATCGGGAATGCTCCAGGTAGCACGAAGCCGAACGACATTGAAATTGGGAGAATGTGTAAGGTGATCTATACGAAGCGACTCACTCTATGATTCAGCATGCCAAGACAACCGGTCCAGTTGTAGTCGCCAAGCAGCGTACCCATCGACGTGGTGTTCTCGAGCAACAAGTACTCAACCCTAGAAGCGATACATCGGATATTCAGGTGCCGTCTGATAACGCTTTGTGGTATAAATCTTTTGAAAATTCATCTAGCAGGTTTACTTTGTTTCATTGTGTTGGAAGTCTTAGTTTATTGTTTCTGCCAATTTACCAGCGTTTCCCAGCGTTATCGACTAAGCCTTTGACGGTCGCCGACCATGCGGGACGCATGATTGGCGACCGTCAAAAAGAGTGTTTCTATTTGTTTTGTCTTTGGAGAACTATATTTGTTTTATTCGCACCGTGTTTTGCTCAGCTGGGGCTATTTATAGTTTCGAGATTTGACACTTTGCTCTAATGATACGCTGGAGGAGGCCACTTCGCGTGCCGGTCGCTCCTGCGGTATTGGCGATCGGAGTGTTGGCGTTTTCGATTCACGATTTCAAACGCTCCTTGGAATTAAAATCAAAGGATGAGAACTCATCATCCAACGCAGAAGTTATCTGAAGTACCTCCGGTTCGTAGTCTATACCAGTGGTTCTCAACCATCCATGTTTCGCGGACCCCTTGTGGATCGGCGGATATGATAGAGGACCCCGTTCGTGGTGAGGGAAGAGGAAAGGTATAACTTCATTATGATAGTGATTTAATAAATGAATGTAACTAAGGGCCAGCGTGAAGTAGACCCGTTTTATTGACATATACACGAGAAGACTAACCGGAAAATGGGAACATTTACTCTCAATTTGAGAAAATATCTTTTATTGCCGGACTTGACTGATGAGGCTGGGCTTCGCGGACCCCAAATGGTCTGCGGACCCCCCTTTGAGAACCACTGGTCTAGACCGCCAAATTTTTTATTGAAAGTGGACACGCGAAAATGAATCGGAATGAAAGAAGGGCGACAACTTTTCGCTCTCAATTTTCCCCTTCGATGCTTTCTCAATCTGGACAGCTAACAAACACTGTGTGTGCTCCCGTTAGTTGAAAAAAAAACACAAAAAAACGCGCTGTTTATTAACTTAATAATAATGCTATCTTAAAAAAAAAGAAGCCACTAAATTACGTGTTTAAAAAAAAGTTTAACCGCGTAAGGGCAAAGGCAGTATAGAGGTGCATTCACAATGGCCCTACAATCTGAACCGCGCAGTGGATCCGCCCATTTTCATCATCAAACGCGCGTGACATTCTATGTGATCTTCAAGAAACCTCGTTCGCAACCGCTTTGCGAACGCGGTTCAACCTCCAGTCTGAATAGGACGTAGGGTGCAGAGTGTACGTATGTACATTGCGGGTCACTGTTAGCGCGAAGACGACCATCGGCGCTTTTCTGAGCTTAAGACCGACGACAGGCTCGCGCTTTCCACTTTTCTCTTGCTTCCTCCTCTCCCCCCTTCTACCGGGTCCACCGTTGCCTGTTTCCCCCTTCCTCATGGCGGGGAGGATCTTCTGCCTTGCAGAATCTCAGGTCTGGTCGTCGGCCTTTAAAAGCAAATGCTTATTGGCTGGCACAAAACTTTACCACTTAGGTTAGTGTCCGAAAGGAGCAATTTTTATCACACTGGTAGCGTTGATAATAACCTTTGAATTCTAAAGAAAAAAAAAAAAAAGAAAACGGCGATTGCTTGTTTTCGTTAACATGGTCCCGCTGCGTGTACCTGAGTGGAATATTTATTTCCTGACATATTGTCCGAGGGCGCTAGGAAGGGAGGAATTTTGAGTTTTCTTAACGAACGTTTACGAAACTTTCGAAGCGCCTGTCGGAACAATTATGTTGTTCCATAACACAACGAGTGCGAATACGGCTCTAAACTTTTCTTATAACGTTATCGGTGTGTCTAAATGTTGCGTTGTAATAAGCCACGAAATGGCAAAAACAAGTGTAGGGTAAAGTGCTAATTAAAAGTACTTAAGGCATAAAGTAATTGAGAGGTTATGTACTTCATGTACAGTAGTACGTACACCGGGAGCCACCTACTTTAAGTAAAGTACTATAAATACAATGCACTTTCAAAGTAGAGTGCAAGTACTTTATAACATAATCTTTTATCATGCCATTTAATTCCCTCATACAGTTTTTTTCCAAACTGGTATGCATTGCCCCAGGGGTAATGGCGGTGCACCGGTTATTTTTCGAAACGGCGGCGAATATATAAAGTCAGGTTGCCGCAAAGTAGTTGTTTTACTCTAGCTGACGAAATATTTAACGCAATCAATTTATAAGGCACTTGTTTGTATCGGTCTTATAACTTCTTTACTCGGAAAAATGACTACATGACGTCTCGAAAGACGGTAGTACGTCTTCACACGACGATATGCTTTTTTTTTCTCCATATTTAGGGAATGAACTTTGAAGTTGGGAGGTGTATTTTTCTGAAAAGTACCAGGATTTTTTTTTTTCTCCGAGAGTGCCTCGGAAAGTACCAGAAATAAAAAAGTGAAGCACAAGTACACACCCAGAGAATGTTTTTTAAGTAAAGTACAGATTTTCTAAACCTACTTGAATTAGTATTTTAAGTACAATACACTTAAATTACTTCCCAGCACTGATAAAAGCTGTCTTGGGTTACCTGAAGCCGTAGATACTTCCCAAGTAGGCCATCAGTCTCAGAAACGTGCCGTCTGTTTTTCTCTCTCCCGTGCTTGTTCTGTTCAGCACGATAAACGGTGGGTACTGCGAGGAAAAACACGCTTCGCTACAGCAAGCAGGGTCTAGGAAGGTATTGTACCGCGAACTTAATAGGGTTAGAAGGTCGACGACGAAAGCACATCGAATGAAAGTGATGCGGGCACAATGTTAATTAATGCCATTTACAGTGCACACGTGGCGGACGTTTCGATGCTTATTTGAAAGTCACAGTTCTACGTTTGGAAGCACATTTCTTATTCTTTCTCTTCACAATAGATCGATCTCACCAAGTGTTCCACGCATGCGTAACGCCGCCATAACTGTATATAGTTCACGGAAGGCAGATGCCAGTGTGCGAGACAGCTCGTGGCATCTCGTGCTCTGCTCGGGCAGAGCCGCAGCGCGGTTGTCGCCCGTGTAGAAAGACTACAGTTCCCAGGATGCATGCCGGCATCGATGGCGCAACAAAACTGGCTGGTGAGATCGGTCTATTTTATGGCAAAGTTTCAGGGCTCCCTGCAGACCGATAAATAGAGCGTCTGGCGATAGTTCAGCATTGCAAACAGGTAGGCGAGCTAAGGAAGCAGTGCGGCTAATAATATGGTGTATATTCTTTATACTTTATGATAACGCTATAACGTAGGAGACGCCAGTCTAATTATATTAAATATATAAGGCGTAACGGTATAGTTATTATATTTGAATGGCAACGAGAGGATATACAGGGTGGTCTTTTTCAAACAATAGAGAATTGAAATAGGGTGACAGTTGTACAGGGTGAAACAAGGAGACGCCAGGCTTTTTAAATCGACTGGAAAATTCGGTTTCTTAACCTATCTCGCTACGACTTTGTGCAGCGTTGCCCACAGATGGTGCATTTTTTTTTTTTGTAAAATTTGCAAAGAGCGGACTTACCTGAAGAAAAAGTAAAGAAAGAAAAAGGCTTAGCTCCTATGGAAACTCAGCAACGCCACCGGCCTGCAAACAACACGGCGCCGTTTCGCACGGGAGACAAGAGATGGCGCAAGCGGTCGCGACGCTGCCGCCAACGAACGAGCAGACGACGCCGAGAGCCGGCCCTTCAGCACTGCAGTCTCTGCAGACAAGGAACTGCAGTTCCTTGCTGTTACCGCGCCTTTCTTTTTTGTTTCTGTGACTGTCGCCGGCCTGCGGAACGCGCGCCGCTTTTGAGTCGAAAAGGTCGTCTGCTAAAAAGGCCTGCTCTCGGCGCCATATGCTCGTTCGTTGGCGGCGTTTGTTGCGCCATCTCTTGTCTCCCGTGCGAAACGGCGCCGTGTTGTTTGCAGACCGGTGGCGTCGCTGCGTTTCCATAGGTGCTAAGCCTTTTTCTTTCTTTACTTTTTCCTCGGGCAAGTTCGCTCTTTGCAAATTTTACAAAAAAAAAAAAAAAAAAAAAAGCACCATCTGTGGGCAACGCTGCACAAAGTCGTAGCGCGATAGGTTAAGAAACCGAATTTTCCGGTCAATTTATAGAGCCTGGCGTCTCCTTATTAATCTCCCGCTTGCACGATCCGTGGGCTAATTAACTCGCGTGCATTACTTAAACATTTAATTAGTGGATTAGGGGCAATGTTGGGTTTGCAGTTTTACAGGTAGTAAATAGACCTTTTTATAAAAGTCCGCGTCATCGCCTGTCCGCCATTGCTTGATCACGTGCTTTCAACATGTATTGGACACGAGGGCTGCTTCAGCGTTCGGCGTAAATTCGGCTCAGCTCGTATTGTAAACGAATGTTGCGCCAGCATTCGGCAAGGATTTGAATACAATCACGCGCTTTGTGCGCGAGAAATGGCGACAATCAATTTTGCTCAATGGACTTTTGAAAAGGGTCTATTGCTGGAAATACGTCAATTATTTGAATTAACTAAAAGCGAATAGACCCATCTCACTAAGCGTTCGGCGCACGCGTGACGCCGCCATGACTTTAGTTCACAGTCCTGAGACAGACGGCAGCGCACGAGAGGGCTCGTGCCGCACACGCGCAGAGCTCCTGCAAGGTTGTCGCACGCGCTCAAAGACTAAAGTTCCCTCGATGCATTGCGGCATCGGTGGCGTAGTCAAACTGGCTGGTGAGATCGGTCTATTGCCGACGAGATCACGGTGCCTACATGTCTGTCGATTTAAGGGTGAGGACATCCTTTGTTGCACAGGTAGCCAGCGTGTGACGCGCTGGCGCACTTATAGTGCGTCCCGTGTGCGGCAAAATGGCATCTAAGCATTAGCAAAGGCTACGCGCTCGAGTTGAGTCACATTGGATTGCGCGCACCTGAAAATACATAAAAAACAACTATTGGGCGAAAAAATGGCTGAGATATCTCCACTCAAGCAAACACGCGTTTGTGTATGAAGGCGCTTTGGATGAGATGTTTCGGTGGCGCCCTCTTAACGTTCCTATCCCTGACGTCACGATCGAGATTATTAGAAGCGAGCGACAAGTTCGACGGTGCGTAAAAAGCGCGGCGGAAGCCTAGTCATCGCGTTCCTCAATCAACACCGTCGACAGTTAAGAGTCTGACTTTGACCCTATTTCCGTCGATGAGAGCAGAAATATTCCTACTCGAGACGTGATAGTGAGCGTTTGGAGAGTCAAGGAAGGCTGAGATATTTATAATGGTGGTGTCTTGTCTGCTCTCATGTCAAATCACGTCAATCTTTTAAACCAGTAATCAAAAGTTAACAAATCTTAGTCCACCAATTTCAATATGATTGTGGTGATGACTAAGTTAGGGTGACCGGTGTTTAGTCTTAAATTTGTATCAATTAGAAACAAACACCACGTTATATTCAAGTGTATCTTAAAGAGGGTTAGGATGCACTGCAAAACCAGAAACATTGGCACAAATAAGAAGAGTAATATGCGATCGCAGACATAGTTATGAAAGATTGAGCCTCTTAGATATGGCTGCATAGCACTGTCAAGGTTGCTTTGCGATTTTCAAATTGTAGCTTTGACTCCAGACTCAAGCCGACACCACAGTGTTCAGCTCCACTGACGGCTGAATGGATTCAGGCATGGAACCAATTCTATAGTAGTTTATGGCGAAGGTTGCAAGCCATATGAGTCAGTCCAGAACCTAAAGCTTGTCATGTGCTTCTAGTTCTTATCCTTGCATATATTAATGATATAACAAATATACCAGCCTCTCCTCAGTTAATAATGTATGCAGACGATACAAATGTATTTTTCTCTGGCTTTACAAAAGAGTGTTGAGAAACTTCTGCAAATGCCTACCTCGTGAACCTATCAAATTGGCTACAAATCAATTGTTTAAGTTTAAATACAAGTAAAACTAAGTATGTAATTTTTAAACCAGTAAATAAACGAGATTGCAGCTCTATCAATATTACGTTTGAAGACACCTTATTAGAGCAAGTAAGAGATCAAACATTTTTAGGTGTATGGTTTTCCGAGGACCTATCGTGGAATACTCATGTCAATAAACTTAAAACTGAATTATCTCGAGTTACCGGCAGCTTATATAAAATTCAAAACTTAGCACCTACCTGGTTAAAACAAATGTTATACTATTCCTTATTTTACTCTAAAATTAGTTACGGTAGAGGCAACCTGCAATGCAGTTTGGCGCTACACGTTGCGCCATCTAGCGGCTGCAAAATAATGAAACTGGGTAGGCCAGGACTACGCGGGTCGCGGGGCTGCGGGCGGGCGCATCCAGAAACCACGTGCGAACGTTGCATTTCGGATCGGCATGAGCTTTTTTGGAACCGTTTTTTTTTTTTGTAAAAGTGAGCCCCAACTTCACGTCTCTAGTACCTCACCGGGTTCCTGCGAAATCTCGGATACCCTCCTAGAGTTCCCCCCAAAAATAAACGTTGCTACTGCTGCATGAAAGACGGCCACAGTCGCGAAGGTTACTCAAGCGTCAAACTTCACCGCTTCCCCAGCTTCCCTTCAAGATCTCGGGAAGCGACACGGCGACAGAAGTGGATTACTGCAGTGCGACGCAACAAGGAAGTGAATTTTACAGAAACTGTTGGGGGGGGGGGGGGGGGAAGTGAACGAAAATATAAGTGCAGGCTTGGAAAGTGGTCGGACGAACTCTTTTTGGTGACTACTCGGCAAAAGAACATATTTATACAAGTTGTATTACGAGTCGCTTTGACAGCCACATTAGGGAAATACGATAGGAACAATCGGGCCGATTGTTGCTTCGCTGTGACGTCGAGAATCGGGCGATCAGGTCTTCGAGCGAAAGGCCCGTCGGCCCGTTCCGGCACTCCTAATGCCGTTCGGCACGCGTGGTTGCAACCAGGACCTTCTAAACCTGCGAGTTTTCAAAAAGTGGATTTTCGTAGTACAAAGTTTTGTATGTTTCAGCAACCAAATTTAGTGCTGAGTCTGGTAACAAAAGTGACGGCGTGCAGAAAGCAGAACACTAAAGTTTTTCTTTAGAAAACTCTCGTGCGAAGCGTAAATATCCTTACACGTACACTTCGTTGCCTGTCGCCATTTTACACCAGGCTTTGCAATGTGCGTACGGCTCTGTAGCATGCAGAGTTTGGTTTTAATCACCCAAATTTTATTCTAGTGTGTGTGGGCGTCGGGATGAGAGGACGGCCGAGCGAGGCGCGAGCGGCGGCCAGCCGGCGAGGAAAGAGGAAGAGCGTGCTGCCCGAGGCTGGGGCCGGGCAGGAACGATAGAGCCGTTCTGGCCGGTGTGGCCCATGGCGATTCCCGGGAGCATTCCACCAGCGAAGTTCGGATCAGGACCAACGGAAGCGGCGAAGACCGGCGGTGATAGACCGGAATAGCTAGCCTACGCAGCACTGGCGTGGGAAGGGCGATCCGCAGGCCTGGACACGGGCTCCGACTGTGAGCTCTGAACGACGGGCGACAACTGGGGTCGGCGGGTCCGAACTGCCGGTTCTCGAAGCCGGGCAGCCGGGATGTACAATAAACCCATTCGCTGCATTCTCGTTGTGTTGTGTCACTTCATGGGAGACGAGCGAAGCACAGACCGATCGGGCGGCCACATGTGGTGAAGACAACTCAAACTGGTGTCTAATTGACGACTCTAGAATATTCTCTCAACACTTGGACCTATCAATGCTCCCGATGGTCTTAAAAAACCGCATAAAAGAACCAGGGACATGGCACGCAGGTGCACACGGGGACCGCTGAAATCGGGTTCGCCGCCACTCCCAACGGCCCGACGGGCAAACTGGCCGCCCCATTAACAGAGACGCCTCCGCTTGTGGCGCTGAATGCAGTACTATTGTGGCGCCGCCTGGCCATTGCCGGCTGCCTATATTGGTCTGGGGAACAACAACAGCTACGAACTACAATAAAATAATTATATTACAAAGAGAATACTACGTATATGTGAAAACTATAGAGGTGATAAAAGAAAGTTCAGCACATAGCCACTTTTTGTAAAATATAATATGCTCAAGGCTGACCAGGTTTACTACTTTAAACTGTTACAATGGATACATAAAAACGAACTGCACACCACCCCAACAAACAGCGTGAGCTCATATACGCTTCGAGATCCAAAGATAAAAATGCCCACCATACGAACAAATTACGGCCGACAAACTTTAAATTTTGAAATAATTAAAATTCTTAACAATACAGAATTGAACATAAACTATAACACAACTTTCTATAAATTCAAAAGTAAATGCAGAACGCTTCTGGTTGGTGGTGCTATTACATTTTCATTGTGAAGTTTTCTTTTTCCATTTCTAGTTTCTGAATTTATCTTATTCGTGATCTCTATGTGTATTAATTTAGACCACTATTTTCTTTTGGTCAAAGCTTTATATTAGTGACTTACATGAGTGTACATTTCTTTGTTGTTGTTTTATTTTGTCGTTTTTTTCTGCGTACAGCATGCATTACTTTGCTGATGTCCAACGTTAATATGTTCATAATGTGATGTGTCACGCAAGCGGTTTTACTATTTCAACTGATTGCCTGCGTATATTCTAATCTTCACTCTGCTTTGTTGCCTTGTTTTGTTGTCATTGATGGTGCGCTTTGCCTGGCTTGTGCGATCCTGTGATTGCGGCTTCCAGAGTGCATGTGTATTTTCTGCTTAGTTGCAATGTTGTTGCATGTGACTCCCTTATCTTTTTTGCCACGGCTGACCTGTTGGGGGGTAGAGGCTCCGTCAGGCACTTGTGCCTTTGTCTCCGCCCCCATGCGGAAAATATCCGCAAAACAAATAAAGAAAAAAAAAAGTTTGACGTATCGCCTCGTTCGGAACAGCAAGGTTGTTTTGGCTTGTTTTACCGTAGTCCACAATACAAGTCAAGGCCTGGAATACACATATAAGGCCTCAGGGCTGAATACTCTGGTATGTCAAGAGGAAGAGAAATGCAAAGCTTCAATTATTTACGTTAACATCACAGTGACGTGCAGCGTTCCGCCAATCGGCGTGGACATCGACTCGCCACCGAAGTGCAGCTGAATCTAGTTCACGTTTTATTGACCTCCTGACGTCAACGGCGTATTTAGCAACGAAGCTTTGTGCTCAAGTGAAGCAGCTAAATCAGAAACAAAATGTAATAAACCGGAGACAAAAAAATCAGTGCCAAGGCGCATATGCCAGTTTAAGGACGCACCTCGAGTGAAGCAAGTTTGATGGTACGGTTTTGAAGGAAGGCGGACACCCTGTCTCTCAGGACTACTGTTTTGATGGTTCCGTTGGTTATCGTCCAATCCTGGATGTGTTTCATTTTGGTCGTGTTGGCCTCGACGGGAGACAGTAGGAGCATCGTGTAGTTGGCTTCGTCTCTACGGAATCCCCAACTCTCCATGAGGACCTGCGGCAATGAAATTCAGTACATGCAAAGTTCAGCCAAGCTACGGCGGCCACAATGTCCACCCTCCTCGACATTTCAAAACTAAAATGTTAACGTCGTCAATCGGGCTCAAACGTGTATGGGTTTCACCTTTTGACAATAGTTCATTTTCGGTGAAAACTTAAAAGGACTTTGCCTTCCGATACCATCACGCGATGAGTAAGCATTGCGTGAAGTTAAATGGATCACAATAGAGAGTTTTAGTAGATCGTTCCCATGACTCCGATAACGATACCCGATACTCCGCCACCGCCTCCCTTGTGCATGCATAGTATCGTTATCGTGGCTATCGGAGGTATCGGAACGATGTACTAAAACTCTCCATTAACTCAACTATGCGAATTGCAAGTTCGTCTGATTCTTTTGCGGAGGTTTGGGTGACGTTAGAACGCCGAGTTCGGCGTTCTGACGTCACCACAACTCCTGCAAAAGAAGCAGACGAACTTGCGCTCTGCATTACCTGGCAGCTACCGGCTAACGGGATGCAGTTAGGCCTAACATGGACAAACATTAGGACGTGCCAAAGGATGCACGTTTGTCGCGAGAAAGCATCTCCGTTGTCACTCTTTGTGGAAGAGCAATGTGACCGATTCTGCGTGGCCCCTGGGTATTTAACGCGAAATATACTCAGGCTGGGGATCCTTTTGCCGCGCTCACGCTGCTCATATGTCATACAAAGGAGACAGTGTTCACTACAGACATGATGACAGCATCATCTGGGGACACGACTCCAGCATGCAAGCATGTTTGCTTCATACATTTCTACGCTTCGAACATTTCTATAGACAGCTTTTCTGGGAACAATGTCCGACAGGAGTGTCATATAAGGAAGAAACGCGCTTTATATAGTGCCTGCAGACTGTATTTTGTGTGATATATGTTAGCAGTGTGACCGGGGCCTTAAAGGTTTATATTTAAGAGATATGTGCGTGATCCTGCGATTTCTCGGAAAACAGTGAGAACATTGTGCGCAGCCGTCGAAAGTATGCGAACGCCGTCCCAACCGATGCCTTTCCCACCAGAACAGCAACAAACAGCTATTCTGCTGTCACCTTGTTCATATAGCGCATGTCGTATGCCCGCCACAAACCGGGTCATTCGTGAGGGGGCAGATATTTACAGAGGGAATGCGCCTGGCAGCCGCAAATCACTGTTGTGGGAGGGTGAGGTGACGTGAAACCGTCTTTATTGCGCCTTCGCGAGGCCGCTGTTGACTTAACAAGAGCAATGGCGCTGGGGAGGGGTGCGGGGGGGTTAGGGTTGATGTAGCCTGCCGTGTCGAGGTATTCGCAACTCCAACGCCCTATAGGTGGCGGGGCGGTAGTTCCAAGATGGCGGAAGAGACGGGGATAGATTCTCCAGGATATCCCGTGCGCCTCTTCGCTGACGCTGTTCAGCACGCTAAAAATGATTTATTGGTCGACAAATGCGAAGTGGTTAGGGAGGGATCATATTAGAGGTGACGGAGATGCTGATGCACGTTAGGAAAACGAGCATGCTGATATTTAAAAGTTGCAGAAACCTGAAAGTGCGAAGCTTTGTGGTGAGCGAGCGCATTTTAGGCATTGGCCACATTACTGTTTGTGGCAGAATAATTTTGAGGGTGATGAAGGTATTATGTTTGCGCCTTGCCTGGCTATGAGTGCTCTAAAAAGAGAGCCGCGAACGGTGACTGTCAAGCTTCGGAAGAGCAGCAATACACAGTATTGGTGTCTTCGCGTCACAGCCTCTCATACCGCTGCTCACCGTCTCGGTTTTTTGTGTATTGCAACACGTAATCAAACTGCTCTATGGTTTTTGATGAAAAGTTTATTACCGCAGGCTACCGTGCGGTGTAGCATTACAACCGCAAGCTCGCGCTGCGCCTTTGAAGCGCAATTTTCAGTGCGCGCCAGGAGCGTTGCCGTGCTCCATCACTCTAAAAAAAAACAAAAAAAAACAAACAATTGTTGTAGTTTTTACGCCCCTTGTCACATAGTCGAAACTCCAAAGATTCAGTTCGCCGTGCAGCCCACTGACGTCAAACTGATGGCCCCACTTTTTACGAGAGGCTTGATGACGACGCAATATAAGATATTAAACAGCTAAAGTGCGCATCAAAGAGTACCGAAAAACAAAACAAACGAACACCAAGGTTTTGCAGTAGGGCCAAGAAAACCCCAATTACTTCCTTTTTTATTTACAGTAATTTACACTTACTTAAGCTATTTTAATAAGTTGCACAACTCGGGGCTATCAAGCCGCTCGTGAAAGTTGGTAGCGCCGGTTGAACGTCCGTGCGCTGTACGTCCAGCTGAAGTTTAGGGGTGTCGTACGCATTGCAAAAACTGCCTATTAACATAATTAGGGGTTTTATTTATTGCTATATCAAAAAAAATATTTTAATATACCGTGCATTTGTTGTACCGGTGTTATTTGCAACATTGCGGTCCCTCTGGCCAAAACTGCGCGTTCTAAGCTCTCGTCACAAACGGCTGGCTAACACAAGACGCGCTTACAATGCTTCAAGCATTTCTTTATTTGCTTTGTAATGACCTGAAACCAAGTACGGGTATTCTCTATATTTAAAGTGCTTGGAATAAATGGTCACGTTCCTTGTAACGGTCTTAAAACGCGAACCCATTCCCGATTTGTATTGCTTGACATACCGTTGCGCGACTAAATTTCTCCTACTTATGGCAAAAAATAGACTTTCCGTAGTCCGTACTATAAAGTTCTTCATTATTAGTGGGAGCGTTTTCCGTCACGTTGAGCACATAATGAGCTGGCGGCCATGCACAAGACCAGAAATCCGCACCGTATGCGATACACGAAACGTCCCTAATGAAATTGGACCTTCCGGACTTTTGTGCAAGGCTGTTTCAAAGCGGAGCACAAGGATTCCTTTTTTGAACGCGCTCACTTTTTTGATAAAACGGTTTCACGCATCAAGGCGGACAGTCCCTGCCACCATTTCCGTGCCGCCGTCGCCGCTGCCGTCCCCGCTCCTCTGGTTCTCCGTTCGTCCGTGGGAGGGCGAGCGGCGCGCTGGAGTTGCGAATATTGAAGCTGTCTTGGTTAGAATCCAGTCTTCGCAGCGGGTCCATGTTCTGGCAGTATCTCTGTCAGTGTGCGGTATCGGGCTTCGGAGTACTTAGGGGCTTAGGGCACTTTCATGTTAGGTGTTTGATGGTCGCGGGCACTTCGTGGTCTTGGAAACATCTCAGACAAGCGCGTACTCTCGGAGTTTTGTATATACGTGTTTAAACCGCCATGAGGTTGCGCACTTGCTCCAAGTGGTTTGTGCTGGTGTTTTGTTTTTATGTTGTAACAATTTATTCCTCGTGAAATAGACGTTTACAGCATGTTCCAGACCGAGACATCTTGCTTTCCGTTTTACCCTATTCTTTCAACACAGCATCCGTTCTTGGGCCCCCTTCCGCAATCCTTCCCCTTCGCGAAAGTGTATAACGACAAAAATGTACTTTCACGCGCAGCTTCCAGTCGCATGACAACCGTCTGCTAAGTTTGGCTGGCGTTTGTCTCGCCCTCAAAATTTAGCGGATTTAATTGCCTCTACGTACAAAACTCTTGCAGACATTTCGCGTGAAATAATTTTGTCAGGCATGACCCATACAAGCTGCGTGTGCTTTTTTTTTACTGTTTTTTTTTGCCATTTGTTACTTTTCTTGCGGTGATGGGACAGTGCTCTTGAGTGCGCCCCTGAGCACGCCTTATAATTAGGGTTCCGTGGTTTCAAGGTTTATTTTATTTTACTGTTTTAATTTTTTTTTTTTTTTTGGGGGGGGGGGGGGAGGGCTGTTCGGGTTCTATTTGTTCCCATGGGTTTGGTGTTTTTCGGTGTGAATTTTCGGTGCCTGACCGAATAATCGCCGCTTATCGGGATTTGTTTTGAAGAAGCATGCGAAGGGGATTGACCAACTTCCCGGGTACATGCGCGTGACCCGAATGCCTAGAAAACGTCTCGGTACCGATAGGGAAAGAAACGAGATACGAGAGGTTTAAAGAAAGAATTGCAGCCTTCCGGGCAGTTGAGTGGACGCTTTGTGCCGAATTGACACGGGATAAAACAATAGATCGAGATTTTCTTCCCACGAAGCTTGTGTTTTTCTAGTTCAAAAACAGCTTCAATTTGTTTTTCTTGGTAGGCCCCGATTTTGATAAAAATCGTCTCGGTGGTTAATTTTTAAGGTTTATCGGTATTTAATGAAAACACGAATACCTAAATATAATGTCTAGATCTGCCTTTCTCACGGCGAAGGCTTGGAATCGGGGCTGATAGTTACTTATGAATTGCTCTGCTCTTAGTTTTCAAGCGGCGTTTGCACTGACCAGACTGATGTCACCAATCAGTTTGAATACGCCATCGCTGCCGCAATGCATCGAAGCAACACCGCCTAGACTTTAAGGCCTCTCTGCTCTTCCTATGACGTCATGCTAGAGACCAGTCCGCCTAACATCTATATTTTTCAGACGTTAGGCAATGGCAGCGAAGACTATGGCGTAGTTCGTTTCGTCGAATTCTGCTTTCAGTTTGAAGTGATTTCTGACTGAACCAGGAATGATCCGTACGTGCCACTGCGTACTGTGATGTCGAAGAAACGCGCAAGAAACGTGGGCCCTTGTATACCTGCACGGAAAAGATTTGAGAACAGGATGAGTAGGAAATGGTTTCAATTAGGCTTCGTTTTGTTGAACTTTCAGACAGTAATTTTTCTTGACAACTATTGTTCTCAAGAAAAATTATTGCCTGCTGCTGTTTAGTTCTATGTAATTTTGTGTAAGACGGTATTTCTACGTGCCTTTTACAAACTAAACCTCAACTTGTTTAGGTCTACAGTGTTGGAATCCTGCTGCGCACGAGAGCTCATTAAAGGAAAGACGACGACGAACCCCCGCAAAACACGCAAAGATCTGGACGCTCTATGCTCTGTGTACATTTTGACGACTGCGAATTCAACGAATTTGACGACGTATTTGACGACGGGCGCACAGCGTGGGCGTAAAGGCTGGAACTTGCCCGGTGGCTCGGCTCGGCTTCGTCGAGCCGAGTCGACATGACCGGAGAAGCCGGAAACATCGGTTGACGTCAGGCGATGTGGAGAGGAGGTAGTGGAGAAGCCTTGTTTAGTCTAGGGTGCCTCAATGACCTTCTGTTTAGAGTGATGCCACCCTTTGTAGTACCCCATTTCCGACAGCACGCGCTCACGGGGAAAATACAAAGAAATCGACGAAAACAAAATGTCGCCATAACACAGTCAGCGCCATAGACGCGTGCAGGGACACACTCTTTCACGCGCTTCTGAACAAAAAATAAATGTAAAAGTGGGAACAAAATGGCCAAATGTCCCCACCCTAAGCAAAGCGCACATGAAGGCACCCTAGTTCAGTCTAGGTGGTGTTGATCGAGGCAACGTTTCTGCACGTGCAACAAAGCCGCTGGAGCTCTGCGCGTGCACCGCCACCTGCCTCCTGTGAACTAAAGTAATGGCGGCTTCACGCATGCGCCGAACGCTTGGTGAGATCGGTTTATTCGTATATTTGTTTCAGCTGGGAAAACGGGTGCGCGTCCATGGACTTGTTTAAAAAAGCGAACGCGGTGGTCGATTACTCAGCCGCGGGAACCAAGATTGACTGTCAGTGGTTCAGCATTCAGCAGTGTTCACACCAAATGGTACTTACATGGTCGACCCAATTCTCGTGTTCGCCATTGATGTAACTTTCAAATATACCGGCGATGTTACGGCTGGCCCGTTCGACAAGAACCATTGGTACTTATTTGCAAACGAGCAGAAGTAGCTTAGGGGCTCCGTTACTGCAGGCGTCTTTGCGTTTCAGTTCCCGACGACTATGTGGGGTTGTGCATGGAAAAAATGGGGGAGAGAGGGTAGACTTACCTTGAGGTCTTTCCGGTATACTTCATAAAACATGTCTTGGGACGAGTCACACCGAGATCCGTTGGAAAGATTCGGTGTTTTTAGCAATAAATGCTCCATGATTCCCGCTACGAAGTTGGCAGCGTACATTTCGGGATAGGTGTACTGAAACGAACAAAAACCGTCGTGACAGTTGCAGTACGGGAACCAGTATTTTTTGTTTTCTTAAAGACGTTGGGATTTCAAGTCGTAAAGGCAGTTGATAATCATCGATCGAATGATGTGTGGATTGTTCTTACATTTTATACATATACCGATCAGATGCTCATATCTTATATATTTTATTTCGTACATTTATGCAACGTTGCAAAGCCTCACTAAGACATCTCATGAAGTGGATCGATCTCGAAACTGGGAGATGTTATGTTGTATTCGTCTTGTGACATCGTAGCTAGGATATTCCCGAGTTACTTTTTCCCCCCTTTCAACCTTCAATAAACTGGGTCAGACAAACTAGATTGATGAAAAACATTTTTATATACACAAAGTTAGATACCGGTTGTAGCTACCCCTTCATGTGATAATCCCGAAAATTTAGGCACTTATCATTTATAACTTTTTGATGTCCTCTTCAAAGAACAATGTCGCCAGGGTTCTCAGTGAGTCTATCACGCGCTAACAAGTCCACACAGACGTGTAATACGTAAGGAGCAAGCTGCATACATTTTCGGGGAGGGCGAACTGACGTTCAAGATGATTCGGTTGAGAGAAGAACGTCTGTGACGATGTGACGATGTCTTTTTGAGCGAGTGATGAAATGGACCGGAATGGGGTTTGAACCCAGTATCCCTGGGTTCTGCACAGTGTTGGGGGAGATACTCGACAAAAGTATTTAAGACAAGTTACTAAATACCTGCTCCAAAAAGTATTTAAATTACTGCTCAAGTTACTTTCTCTACAAAATTTTTCGAGTAGTTTACAAAGACTCGACTTCAGTGACACCAGAATGCTGTATTTGCAAGCAATAGAAGCAATGAAAACAAAATTTCAGCGTTCTTCTATGCAGTCCCAGTACAATAGAGTGTTTTACTAGATCGTTCCGATATTCCCGACAATGATACCCGGTAACAATACAGTGCATGCTCAAAGGCGGTGGCAAAGTATTGGGTGTCGTTTTTGGAGTCATCGTAACGATCCACTAAATCTCTATAATGAGTAGTATCGTACTGGTGAATGAATGTTACAAAAAGTGAAAAGAGGCCGCTCTACTTATAGTCACATTGCAAAAATTAGCATCTTTTGATGGTTTTCCTTGTTTTTATAAAAGGATGGGGCTACCCTCGTACCTACCACGGTGTTTCCGAGAGTACCAGGTTGGGGAGCGAAAGAAACTGACACTCTTGCCCTAACAAAGTCAGACATAAAAAAAAAAAAAATCTTTTACTGATTTTATTTGGTGGCCACTTGTCATTTCCATTCATTAGTTCCCTTGTTGGCGTTTTGGGCCTGCATCTTTGGTCGTGGTTGGTTCCCTTTTCTCTGTTCGGTCGCTTCCGCTTTAAGTTTGCAATCGCTCAGCTTTGCGCTGGGATGTGTATGCTGATTTTTATTTCCGTAAAAAAACAAATACCATGAAAATGGTTTTCACACATTATAAAATGGATTTTAGATAACGAGTACAAGATACTGACAAACGTAGTTATAATAAAGTAGCAACTACTGTCAATCAAATGCATTTGCAAGATTCCAAATCACTACCAAACGTATTTGAAATGCAGTATCTTGAGTAGAGTATGTGAGACAGGCACGTAGCCAGGATTTTGTTTAGGGGGTTCGGAGGGGGGGGGGGGGGGCGCCTATGACAAAATGCTGTATGAGGGGAATGGGGGAGACGAGGTCCCACAAAAATGGAAGATTTCGGGGGGTGGGGGGGGAGGGGGGAGGGGGTGCCAGGCCCCATGGCACCCCCCCCCCCCCCCCCTGGCTACGTGCCTGAAATTTTGAGATAGGCACAAGTTTTGTTATATAGCGCGAAATTTTACAATTCGGTCACCGATTCCTCGTTTCTAGGACTTCGAGATATTGAAATATTGACGAGAACGAGGGATTCACCGGCTCGTCACTCAGTGGGAAAAGTTTGCAACACAAACCTGAGTTTCAGGAGTGCACGAGACTATTGATTTTTTTGAAGGTTGTTTACGAAGACGTAATGAATGTCGCACAGCCTTTACGGTTTCCCCCGAAAGCGCTGGAGCTTTTTAATAAATCTAGAAATATGACCGTTTTGATCGTTTTGAGTGCATTTTGAGACAATTTAAAGATTAAAATTACCGTATATTCCGGGCTTTTGTCCGCGAGCTATATACGTTTAAAAATTAAAATTTTAGCTTGTGCGGACTATCTACGCGTGCGGACTATACAGGAGTTTTGTTTTTGAAGATCTTTCATTATGACGAGACGTGACGGAATTCGTGAATGAAAGAGTATGTTTTTGATGATTTATGTATAATACAAGCTCTTTTATGAGCTAAAAAAGCAGCCATTTTTCAAGGTGTGCCATGTACGAGATGATTTTCATGTCGAATAAGCACCAGGGGCCCACTATGCACGGCGTGGGGACTATGCACCGGGTGCAGACTATCTAAGCAAAAACTTTTTTTTTGTTGCCTAAATTGACTTTTGCGGACTACACACCGGGTGCGGAATATAGCCCGGGAAATACGGTACTTAGAAGAAAAAAGTGGGGAAGTGAATGGTAGTATACTTACTAGGGGTGTCTCCTATCTCAATTTTAAAACCTTGACGCAAAGACCAACGTCGTTCTATTTGCGTATTTATTTAAATGAACTTGACAGTACTGTTTTCGCTAGATTGTTGGAGCGTTTCGCTCCAACGCCAAGCTCGATCGGCACACTGGTCAAGGTCATAGAAACGAAAGAACGCCGGACTATATTTTTATACAACCTAGACGTCAGGCGTCACGTACTTAAAGTCACCGCGACCTGACTTGTCGTCACAACGCCATGCGACATCAGGACGACGCCTTGACGTCAACGTCGACATCGCCGTTGACAACGTGCGTTACCCGACATCAAGACTGCGTTCTGACGTCATATTGCGTTGACAACGACGACGATGTCAACATTAACGTAGATGACGACGACGACAACGTCACGGGACTTTAAGATGACGGCGTCCTTGTCAATGCGACGTCATAAGGACGCTTGGTGTCAGTTCATCGACGTCGGTGTCGACATGACGCAACTCGACGCCACGAACAGGTCCCGACAACTTCAGGACGTCGACGTTGACGTCATCGTCGACGACGTTACACGACGTCAAGACTTCGTCGTGACTGCGCGTCGACGTTGATGCTGGCGAAGGCGACGACATCACACGCCGTCACGTTAACGTGACGTCATAGCGATGTCTGACGTTGCGTGGGGCGTCGACGTGAACGTCGACATCGACGACCGCGTCCACGTCGTCCTCGACGAGGCGCGCGACGTCATGACCGCGTTGCAACGGCGACGTGATGTCGCGAAACGGCGTCGTCCTCGACGCGACGGAATGTCGCGACGGCCTTACGGCAGCATCTTAGCGTCGTGTAACCTCGTAGTCGACGATGACGTCGAGGCGTCGTCGTAACGTCACGTTGTCGTGTCGTGGTGCTTAGACGCTACCTCTGACGTCAAAATAATAAAAAATACAATATAGCCCCTAAGGGGCTATATTGCCCATATGACCTTCACCTGTATCGTTGCTCGATCGCACGCAGCGAAGGTGGCGCTGCGATCGAAGTGGCTTGGTTTCACCTGATCGCTTTCCACGAGGTGAAACTGAGAGCATGAGCTGAGCCTGTAGCTCGTCCCCTTTGTACATCCTAGTACACTCTACCAGTACCACAGCAAATGCAGTGCGAGCCGCCCCTATAGCTGGCCACCCACTTCATCCAGCCCATACTTTAGCGCCCTCTCGTCATTGACACGAAGCGCGGCAGCCATGAGCGCTCGCTGAGCTCACAACCATCCTCTAGTTCACTTCAGCGGCATCAAACCCCCCCCCCCCCCCCCCCCCCCCCCCCCCCGAGTTTTTGTTCAAGCAAACGGCGCATGCCGCGTGCCATTTGCTTGGCACAACTTTCCGGGGATATAAAGCTGCTACTGGCGCCCGTGCAGTCGTGCTGCCCGAGCGCCGCTCAAAGCTGTACACGCGTGCTCTTTATTTCTTAGAAGTTGCTTGCGCCTCAGTACTCTCGTTCACGTTACACGCTAACAACAAATGTGCAAAATAAAGCAAGAATTACGAAAACGTCGGAAGAAAACAATTGTTAGCGTTTTGATAATGCAACAATATTGATTAAAATGCAATTAAATGCAAAGGTGTAAGCGAGCTGGACAAGAATGACGAAAATAATCTCTGGAGAAGGAAAACAAAAGGGACAAAGGACAAACACAAATCTCCAATTACAGCTAGTTGACTGGTGCTTGACTGAAAAAATCTGCCTAGTCCGGGTATCGAACCCGGAACCTCTCCCGGGTTTGTTTTGTAAGTTCCAATTAACGTGGCCAGGGGGCGCATGGAAGGAGAAATGGAAGAACACAGCGCCCAGGGGTTTCGAAACGTTCTGCACGTAGTGTTACTCGTTACTCGGTATAACCGGTACAATCACGTAATAACTACCACATTGTGTCAAGCTGCCGTTTGGAATTTATTCCGCCTCGGAGTACTTTCAACGAAGAATGAACCAGATTTTGGAAGGAATCCCGGTTCCTATGCCATATGGATGACATCCTAGTCACGGGTGGACACGAGATAGAGCATGAACAGAGGCTAGAGGAGGTTCTCAAGAGCCTGAAAGCAGTTTGTGTCCGACTCAACGACAAATGCGAGTTCAAGCCAAAGTCAGTAAAGTTTTTGGGACACATTGTCAGCCAGAAATTCAAGCCAGACCCACAAAGGGTCACAGCCATCACGAATATGTCAGCGCCAACGACAGTGACCGAAGTGGGCAGTTCATCGGAGTGGCAAACCAAGTGGGACGCTTCATCCTCCATCTGTCCGGAAAACTGAAGCCTCCGCGTGACCTTCTCAAGAAGACAAACGAGTGGACATGGGGCACTCCACAGGAAGCAGCATTCAAAGCAGAGAAGAAAAACAACCAG